TGCGTTGCCATAAGGGAGCTGTACAGGGTCTCCAACTCCTTACGCCTTAGACCGTAATCCTTCTTTGTCGCATCCTGGTCGATGTCCATCCACTTCTTGGTCGTCTCACGTATCATAAGTACGTCTTAATCGACTTCTCTGATGTGTCTATCGCTTTACCCCTTCAGTAAACATTTCCGGTTTTCTGCTAAAGACTGAGGCTCCTAGCTTAAAAGAGTCAGATGCATCCATAACAAAAATTACGAATTACTCAAAACAGTTGTGATTGGAGAAATGGTCGTGTAAACTGAGGCATGGCAGTGGTCAGTAGTAACGAAATTGCAATGCGTTTGGTAAAACAAATGTTCTTTTAAGCACATTTAGTAAAGTTTCACAGTCATTTTCAAATGCAAAGGCAGAAGTTTGAACTTAGATAATAATGATGCGATGGTGATTTTTTTGGAAATGCTCAAGCCTATTTAGTATTTACATTTGGGATTCCTCCTAGATGCAAAATATTTCGTGGTGTTTTTGATAAAAGTGCAATCTGTAGGCGCATGTCAATTTTGCCTACAATTGCATATTTGCGCATTGAAGCTGTGTTACTCTTTTATGCTCTCTTTCAGTTGTCTCTATACTATGCCAATCTGTTATGACATGTTGGTTAAAAAGGGTGGGTGAGTCCTATTTAGGTAACGCAATTCAGCCATATTGTAAAGAATGTCTACGGGATGGACTATCAACCATTAGTAGATGCTGAAGACCTTCAACCGTTCTCATTTAACTAGCCAAATTGCTAGACCGGTGCAATGAGTGTGTGCTCCAATTCGGTGGACACCTCGTGACTTCTATACCAGTGGTACCGCAAGTGGTGCCTACCCGAAGTGGATCGTGGTCTATGAGGGCAGGGGAACTCGCCACACTCTAGCTGGGAGAAGCAACACAACTGTAACAAAGTGAAAAATTATCACACTATATAATCATACTTTGGTGCATTTTTCAATAAATATGCTGGAAACTGCACAGCACCTACTCACATGCAATCACACATACTTAGTCAACATCACTGCTACGCATTGTTTGCACACGTTTATGCATATATTCCAATGCATTTACAATAATGCGTTACACATTTATGCGTTCAGGAGCAGAAGGTTTCGTATTTCTCCAAAGAGTTGCTGCCAACAGTGTGGCCTGATCTAAACGGTTAATGAAGAAGATACATGGTATGAAGTGAAAGTGGTGTTGTAAACGGATGTGATTAGGTTTGCCGGGGATGACATTAAGAATCTAAAGCTTTCGCAAGATGCAACGCAGTGCATCAGTGCACTCAACGTGTCAGAATGCCTTCACGAGTGATTGTGACGTGGTTACCGGCTTGACCTCATTCATTCAAATGTGTTTAGATCTCGAGTAATGAACAAAAGTAACTGTGGAGAGCTTGCACAGGCACTGCACAGAGAAGAGTATGGAATTTTGGGATGAAAGTAAATGCAAACAAATGGATGCAGATCCACTACTGCAGGTGGGACAAACCATTAGCAACGAAACATTTGTAAGGAAAGGCAAATGTGGACCATTGCTCTAGTAGTCATTACCTACGCTTGTGAATCGAGACACACGAATCTCGTGAACGAATGATTTGCAAACATCATAGGAAGCAGGCATGGAACAGGCTCATATGCGTTTCCTGGCTACTACGTCTGCGGTCAAGTGGTTGTAACCATGAGTCATTTCCAGCTCACTCGTGTCGCGCAATCAACCACAGGTCGCTATGCAAGATGCTGATACGAAACAAGGCAACTCCACTTTTTACTTTTGGCACTATATGCTGTTATTGCCTCTTATTTTCTAAAAGGGGTTGATTTGAGCGAGCACAAGAGCGTTTCGTTGGAGTAATTAGCCCAATTCTGCACATTTGAATGGCTCGCACATTGCGACCCATTGGGATTAGCATATTCCCGGCGGCCATTTATTCCGTGACAGGTGAATGCATTATCCAATCCACTGATAATGTGAGCATCCTACTCCAAGTAGAGATCCATCAACGTTTCGTGTTCTGTCTCAGTCTTAACTGTGAACATTCGCCACGTTCAATGCCTGCTCAGTGCATCAAAGCTATGGATAGAATTGGACAGAAGACCACGTTCCTTGTTTGATTGGTTAATACAATCAATCGCATACAGTTGTGAATTCGCGAAGCTACCGTACTACCACCGGATAGTTTTGCCATGCTTACCTAACTGTGTTAAAGCTTATGGTGCACTAGTCAAAGGCTGGGATGTGTGCGTAAGCACAATGGGTGACGGGGATGTAAACACGTGCAGTTGCCACGACTCAGTGCGATTGTTTCTACATTTAGCTAAATCAAAATCCCGATTTAACCACCAAT